TTTCAATATTTTGTAAGCTCATGAATAGCTCATTAATAGGGCTCATTAATAGTAAGGGAGAGCGTCGACTAGAGTTTTATCTCATTCTTGTCGATTCCTTGGGTGTAGGTGTGGGTCAGGAATGAAGTCGCCAGAACACAGGTCATCCAGGGAAAGGATACAGGACTGGAAATAACCACAGCCTTGGCAGTCATTTTCCCAGTAACCGGGGGTGGTTGAGCTTAATTCTGAGCTTCAAAATAAATTTTTTGTACTTAATTTTAATAGCTTCTATGTAATGAAAAAATGCCTTGATTTATATTCTCATAAATGGTGCTAAAATACGGTACCCGTTACAGGAGCCAGAGCAATGCATGGTAATGTGGGAATTTTGAGGACTTTGATATGAGAACAAAGCCAAAATGAATGTATTTAATGAGCTCCCGTCCCGTTTTCATTGTCTGTAGAAATGTTTTGGTACCATTACCTGCATCTCAGCAGCTTCTAACTCTCTTGTGAATTGGGAGAGGATGACGACCCACCTTCTGCCTGTGGTAGTGGTGTCCCCTCCCTGTCGGCCGGGCTGTGAAGGGAGGACAGCCGGGAACGCGGTGTGAACCTGGCCCCACTCGTCTTGGCTTGTTTAGCAGAGTGTCCTGTTTACACTGTAAAATGTCAGCGTTTGTCAAAAACTTCGCCTGCTCTGCAAACCGTGCCCCCAGGGCTCCTGTCAGTTTGGGGTCTTGCTTCCCACCTGCACCCTCGGCCAGACACCTGGCCCCGGGGCGTGAGTTCCCCGGGTGAGGTGTTGAGTCTTCGTCTTCATGGTCAGAGGCAGAGCCAACTCAGGTTTTGCTGTTGGTCACCTACAGCAAACCCAGCCGCTGAGGACTGTAAAAATAATAACTAAAAATAAACTGAGATAATAAAAGCTCAGAAGCCTGATTGTGTTGCTCTGGTTAAATGCCTGACTTTGAGGACTTGGGAGATTTTGGTTCAGTGCATTAACTTTCCAGCACCCCCAAGACAGGCCTGTAATGGTGTTGGACCCACGTAAAGTGATCCCCCCAAATT